TTTATCCTCCAGCCTATAGGACTCCAGATTCTATATCTTTTGATAGCCGGGCACCATCAGCTTTCTTCACCACATTTGCTTATGCACCCGCTTTGTCTTCATTGATTGTGTCGGGGTAGGCTGGTGTACTTCTTCCATGTGGGCTTTCTTTTTTCTCAGCTAGAGGGCCACCTGTTTATATTCAAGCCTTTAAGACCCCAGACGCTATATCTTTTGATAGCCGGGCACCATCTGCTTTCTTCACCACATTTGCTTATGTACCCACTTTGTCTTCATTGATTGTGTCGGGGTAGGCTGGTGTGCTGCTTCCATGTGGGCTTTGTTTTTTTCTCATCTAGATGGCCACTTGTTTATCTTCAGGCCTTTAAGACCTCAGATGCTATATATTTTGGTAGCCAGGCACCATCAGCTTTCTTCACCACATTTGCTTGTGCACCCATTGTCTTTAGCGATCGTGCCAGGAAGGTGAGCATCTCAGACTGCCGAATTATTAGAACAAAGTGTTCTTGTGTTGAGGGAGTACTTTAGCCCACTCTCCATCTGTTTCCTTAATATTAAACCTATAAATATATGCACATAGATCTATTTCCCCATTGTCATATATAAATACATTTACATCTGTATATGCCTGTATTTCGATCTCTATAACTGCTCTTTGCCTCCTAGTTTTTTCCTCTATTTCTTTGTACTTACCTGTTGTCCCACTATCATGTTCACCCTTCATTTGGGTTTCAGGAACTCCTCTTGGTTACATTGCCCATGATCCAGCCCTGCCAGACCTCTTACCCACTCTTTGCCACTGATTTTGGATCACTTGTTGTTCCCTTGTCCCTGGGTTTGTTAACACCCATTTCCTTTGCCCTGCCTCCCCCTCTCCCATGTCCTCCTGGAACTGTCATCCCATTGTTCTCTCTTCCACCTTGTTTATCCCGCCTATCCCTTCCAGGTAGACATGAGTCGACAACAATATGTACCATCACAAGACTGAGTACAACGAAGCAACAATAGAAAGTAAAACTATAGCTACAACAACATCAAACCTTATAAATATTTCAGGGTCTATTTGCTGTCCCTTAAGAGTGCTTCCCAGTCGAGTCTGATGGGGTGCCATGCTCTGGCCCCACATCTATCCTTGGGGACTTCATTTCTCTGCTCACCCCGCTGCTCTGCTGCATGCCCCCAGAGGCTGGCTTTGGCGTAGTGGGCTCAGGTCAGGCACAATTCCCGCGGTGTGTCTCCAGTGTTGTCCCCAGTTGTGCTATGGGTCAATTAGGAACACTGTGTCCTGTGGTGAGGCCGGCCCTCTGGTTGTCTCTGTGCATTGCTGCTCTTAGCAGGAACATTGCCCTCAGGACTTGGTGGGCCACTATGTACTTCACCCCCCCCCACCACCACCACCACCCCCACCTTCCTCCTTGGCTCCTGTGTGCTCTGATCAGACAAGTCCCTCTTGAAGCTTCAGTGCTAACCTCTGAAGTGAATTCTTCTGGGAGGGAGGGTGGTGCTGTCCACTTAGTTGGTAATGGGGCCAGCCGGTGAGACCTTGACTCTTAAACTCTTCCTGTGTGCCCAAGGCAGTCCCTGGCATGTGATAGGGGTCAAACAATATTTAGATGGATGAACAGATGGATGGACAGCTATCTCTATTACTCATTGCCCTACGGCTGATTCACCTTGCTTACTCCTCTTTCTGTTTCTCCCTGGTACCACCGCCCTCTCGTAGTCAGCAGTCATATGAATGGGCAGCCCCGTTCGGGGAGGGGCCCCTTCCCTGTGTTTTCTCTTGCGCAGAACCTGAGAACTGGCTCCTTTGGCCTGGTCTTTGACTTCCGGTCACCGAGTGCTTGTCTTTCCTCCTCATCCTCCCTCTCCACCTGCCCCTGCAGCACTGCCAGTAACTCCAACCGCAGCACGCCGGCCTGTTCCCCCATCCTCCGGAAGCGGTCTCGCTCACCAACCCCACAGAACCAGGACGGAGACGCCATGGTGGAGAAGAGCTCCGATCATCCCTCAGACAGGTCCCCATCCACACCGGAGCAGGGCGTGCAACGGAGCTGCTCCTCACAGTCTGGCCGCAGCGGTGGCAAGAATTCCAAGGTGAGGTGCCCCCACGGAGGCTTCTGGCTGTTGCAGGTGGGGGCAGGTGACGTAGCGAGCACTTCCTCTAGGACTGCCCATGATTGACCCTCCTGAATATCTGAGGGGAGGCCCTGGTTCAATGCCATCTCTTCTAAGACCTCAGAGAAAGGCCCACGGGCTAGAGCAGGGTCCTCTAGTTAGGATGCCCCCTGGGAGAGCTTATCTCCGGTTCAGGAGCAAGGAGTAAGGTGTGCAGGAGGGCCCATGCGGATCCTATCCGGAGAGGCCACCTGATTCTGCCTGCTGCCTTTTCCAGGCGGTGACTGAAGGGAACACTGCTTGGGACAAAGGTTCCGTGAGGAAGAAAGTCCTTAGGGGACTTTGCAGAATGCCATGTTCAGCCCCTCCCTGCCCACTCCCCTGCCTTACTGTGGTGCTCATTTACTCGCAGGCCCTCACCTTGGCCCAAGGGC